GTGTACATAGAAAGTCTTGTAGTTATAACCAGAGTCTCCTGGAGGGAGAGCGGGATATTGTGTATAGATCTATACGGGATTGACACCCCACACCTGAGCTGCTCGATACAGCTAGACAGGCCAGTCTAGGGTGACAATTATCTTTAGAAACCGACGCCTGAAGAACGTCAAGACATGCGCTCTCGTCATATTAGTATGGTTGTAACGACTCACATGGAGAATAACAACATTATATTAAAATTTACGCAATGCATATACTTTACTCACGTTTCGAAGTACGAATCTATGCGTCGACTATTTTGCATCAAATTTCACTACTCGGGTCTTACGGTTTGAGACCACAATTTTTCGTATAAAAGAAAATACAGGATTTTCTGGGAATCACTCTCCATACATTTTCAAACAAGATAAACAACGGATACACATGCATTTATACATGATTTAAAATGAGACTTACAAACGATTTTACAAGAAAATATTGGATTTTCTGGAAGTTACAAACTATTACAAAGTTTTTCTCACAAGCATGCTTATGAACTCACCAACATTCTATGTTGACGCTTTTCAAAACGACTTGTATTTCTCAGGAACTCAATAAGCAGGTGGACAGCTAAGGAAATTTGGATATTTGTTATATTTTTGAATTATCATACATTATGTTATTTTGGAATGTATCTCGTAAACAAATACAATGATGTAAACCATTAAATGTTGATATCGTAATGTATGATGATGATGGTTGCTATGTTTCATTTACATACAATTGTTATGATATTACAAGATGAAGTCACCCGCCCCCGGACGTTTCCGCCATCCCGGTTCGGGGGTGTAACATCATCCAAAATACATCAGAGTCAAATAAGTGAAAAATCATGGTGTGTGTGATGCAATCATCCCGAGCTCTTCCCCTTCGATCTGAATGTACCTGAAACATAAACTACAAACCGTAAGCACAAAGCTTAGTGAGTTCCCCAAAATACCATACACCATACATCTACGCCGGCTCAAGGCTGTGTCGGGTCTATTTCACCCTGGGTCTATTTCACCCCCGAGTCTATTTGAACTCATATGTCAGCATAAGGTTGTATCGGGACTATTTCACCCCGAGTCTGTTTCTCCCCCGAGTCTATTTCAACTCATATGTCAGCACAAGGCTGTACCAGTTCTATTTCACCCACGAGTCTATTTCAACTCATATGTCAGCACAAGGCTGTATCGGGTCTATTTCACCCCCGGATCTATTTCACCCCACATACATATAGCACAAAGGCACACATGCATACAACACATACAGCCGGAGTCACAAAGACTACAAGCACATATAATCCCTAGTGTCCTACAGTATACGAGCAAACTCACATTAGTCTGCTGTCAGTCAAATAGATGCCCGGGCTGCTGAACCAGAGAATCCCCACACTAACCAATCAAATAAAACCATAATTAACAATCGGGTCATAAACCATAATATGGACTTAATTAACTAACCCCGACCCCCAAAGTAAAAGACCATTTTACCCTTCCCTCAATTGGCCCAAAATCTGAGGCCCAAACTCAAAGGCATAAAAGCCCAATAATGGCCCAATTCCTAAAGGACACTCACATCCTAATATGGGCCCAAATCCAAGAAGTCCCAAGATCTAATAGTGGTTCAAAATCAAGACATGTGGCCCAACAAGGGCCCAAAACCCTAAAGCCCAAAGTCGGCCCAAAAAGTCAAAAGCCCACCTGGTCGCGAATGCTAAGCGTTCCCCTAGTACGCCTGGCGTACTAGGTGGCTACACTGAGTCGGGGATCCAAATGCGTACGCGCAACGTATGCTTGCATACGCCCGGTGTACGTACCCATTAAGCTCCTTTTCTATTAAGCACTTAATGCTTGCTACCATACGTCCACATTTCAGATCCAAACCTTGGAGAACGTCTTAATCCGTAAAGTCACTAACTTGGAGCCTTTTCATGGTTCCAAAGAACTTAAACCTTAGATTTGGCATCCTACTTTCACCAAATGGGCATATACTCATGCATGGTTGATCCTCAACCATCAAGATGCTAACTTTATGTACTAGGGATCTCAGAAACATCAAGAAGAGCAACGCCTAACTTCTGGAGTGGAATAACCCCACTAGATCTCATTCATGGGACCAAAAAGTGACCAAAACTCCATAATAACTAGATCTAAGCATAGAATGAGCAAGGTATAAGATTTATACCTCAATGAAGCTGGAAAAGATGAGTGAAATATGGATCTACAAGCTCCTCCTTGATCAAGGCTCCTTCTCCAAGCTTCTTCTTCTTGGAGTTACACTAAAAACACACCAAAACATACACAAATGTCAACTCTCTCTTGAAATGAGCTAGGTTTTCGAAGTGGGACTCTAAGGGCAATGGAGGTTGGGAAATGAGAGAACCTTGGGACATAAGACTGCTTAAATAGGGTCCAAACCCTAAAATTAAGGTTTGTCCCCTGATTGCGTACGCCCAACGTTCAAGAGGAACGCCCAGCGTACGCACCCTTCTCCCAAAATTACAATAATGCCCCCTAAGGACCAAAATTGCAAACTAATTACACACCAAGGGTCCAAAATGAAAAATACCTTGAATCGGGTGTTACAAACTCTCAAAGGGACCAAAAATATCAACAAGACCATACATGACACTTAAATGAAGATGGAGTACAGATCTTATCACCACAATGGGTCTAGAATACATAAAGATTCAACTGGAGTCCAACTCAATACATTAAAAGGGCCAAAACAAGCATATAAAGTATTAAAACTCCAAATACTCTTAGATCCAAAGATGAAACACAATAAAACAAGGATCTTTATAACTTAGAAAGGTCCAAAAGAGTAGACATGGTAGAGATCCACAAGCTTCAAGCTTCCAAGCACAACCTTTCTTGCTTTCTTCACCAAAACACACAAAATGCACAAAAAGAGGTTCAAGGAGAGAGGAGGAGCTCAAAATATGCAGGACGCTAGGTTTTGATCCCAAGGAGCTCTTGATGTGATGGAGGATGCAAAATGACCTAAACCATGGACGTAAGTTCCTTAAATATGGGGCATACCCTAGTTTTATGGGCTTGGGCTACATAGCTCACTACGCCGTGGTGACGAGTTTTCCAGATAATCATTCTAACTTCAAACAGTTATAAATTCTTCGTTCCAAATCTGTTTTCAGTGATCTTCATATGCACGCGATGGTATTAACAACCCAACATTTCTATCTAATTACTTTTGACCTATTGTATACCAAACTTAATTCATTAATACATGTAAAGAGTCCAAAATATAACTTTTTCCCCTTTTTACCCCTTTAACTCCAAAGTACAATTCAAGGGCTTAAATCACTTAACGGACATTATAAATATCTAATAAGGTCTAAAATTTATTCCCTTGAAGCCCAAGACCTTTACTCGATCAAATTAAGGTCCACTGTCCCGAAATTAGAAACATCCTAAAATCGGATGTTACAGTCTCCTAATAGGTAGAGGATTATGACTTTGATGTGATATCAAATGACGGAAACTAGGTTGATCAAATTGATATGAAGGATTTAAATGCATAAGTGTACAGTTTTGGGATTCTTTAATACAACCTTAGGTCTTTAGTAGTGGACTTGTATGATGACGTTCCTCAGTGTGGATACAAGAGCGTTGTCCTTCGATTCCTTGAGATAGGTCAAAAAGACAAGTTAGATCACCGATTAGGGATAGGTTTTTGGACATGGGATCCCATGGGCTTCAAGCGAAGGATGCTACTTGTCGGAGGCGTTTGTCTTAAAAGGTGGGGGTATATAGGCTAAGGCGAAGTTTGGAAAGGTAGACAAATAATGGGTCTACTTTGTGGATTATGTGTTTAGCCCATGGTAGGGTCGTCTACAAAGAAATTTGTTCACTCGTAATGTAAAATAAGATGTTTCTTCATGGTGATCTTAATAAAGGAAACTCAAGGTCTTAACTGGAGGGGTTTTTGGTTTATCGAGTGGATGATTAATGCATGGGTCGATATTGCAGATTTGTGTACTATTTGGAGCATTTTACAAAGCATGGAGAATATAAACGTTGTACGGGATCTGATATGTGTGCCAGGGTGGCGAAAGGTTTGGTAGAGATAAAAAAAACAAGTTTGGTGAACTTCTAAGTGTTTGGTTTGGTGTGAAAGAGTTGATCATCTCGAAAAGCTTTGATTGGTATCTGTAGTTTTCAATTTGGAGTTCGGTCGGGAGGTATACACTTCCACATATGGTTAATTTTTTTGATTGAAAGTTTGAGTAGACTACATATGTATGTCAAGGTGGAGATTTCTGAGTTTGGTCATATGAGACAAACATACAATAGTATAGTGCCTTAAAATGTAAAATGGTGAGGGGTTCCATATTCCACTTTTCTTATCTCTATGTACTCTCTTTAATTTTGTATACCCATTTAAGACATAACATGTCATTTTTTCAAAGTTTTGCTGTTGATTTCTTCCTAATTATTGTATGCTTCCGCACATTCCACAACATAAAGTATGACGATACGGCTAAACATGTAAGTGTAGTTTGTTCTTCATAAATTTGTTTAAAACTTGTAAGTTTGGTAATCACAAGAGAGTATTTAAAACTACTTAAATTGAAAACCAGTTCAATATAAATTTCTTATTTCCAACTACTAAATTAATTAAGAAAATTGTGGACTCATGTGATGTCGTTCGTTCACTATCATTTTCATATCTTTTTATGAGTACTTGGTCGAAGAGGGCAGTTGGAAGACCCTACAATTGTGTCTTAATACACACCAACCAATATAAATGGAGCTCTTCAATTGTGTTTAACAACCTATACAAGAAATATTTGCATACCCTACATGATTAAAATTAATTCACCTTTTTTTATGTTTAGACAGGCATACTTAAACATTATGTTTTATAAAAAAGAAATAGTGAACAATCTTGAACATACTGCAAGAAAGCATTAATTTGTCTTCCTAATTCATAAAAGAGAAAGGTGATTCACAAATTTATCGCCAAATAATCCTATATTTACAACAATCATCATCCCATGTCACTTGTAGAAAACCATTGAGCGTGACATAACATAAAACTAAGGGAATTTTTTTAAAAAGAATACAAAAAGGAGTAAAACAAAATCGGGAACAATTACTTAAAAATAATGCTACAAAACTATCAACCTTTGTCTTTATGCAAATTTTCTAGTAATTTTATTGCATTTTAGAAAATGTATATCAATGACTAGTAGCTAAAGCAGTCACCAAAAGACCAAGAATCAGAAATGGTTGAGCACTTGCCTGAAACCAAAGAATTAAATAATTTTAACTCAAAAATTAATAAATTAATAAATTAATAAATAATTTTACCTGATATTTGACATCATATTTCACCGGATCTTTGAGAAAGTACTTGAACTGCAGCACGAAACAATAATCATTACTTTTTAATCAAAGTAATAAATTTTATAATTTCAAAATCATATATTTAACTATTTTAAAATCATAGAATTTACCTGAAAAAAGACTTGTGGAGCAATTAACCCGAGAAGGGCTAAAGCGTAATATGGTTTACCAGCTCCTAAAAGGTAACCTGCCACCAAAAAATGCATATTACATTCATCTCAAAAAATACATTAAATATTTTTGTTAAAATAGAGATATATTATTAATTATTAATAAAGAAAAATGGTGAAACCTGCTATTGAGAGTTGAGTTATGTCTATGGCACCAACACATATCCATTTAGCTGTCTCCTCACCAAAAGCCACCGGAAGGGACTAGTTAAATATCCATAACATACCAAGGTCAAAATCGTCATATTTTATATTAATTATATCCAATTTATTGTACATAAATAATAATGAAAATTAAAAGTGTAAAGAATTAATTACCTGAAGCCCCATTTTTCTGTCTCCTTCGACACTTTTAAAGTCATTTACTATCGCAATACCAAGCTTTAAGTTAAAGAGCAAATAAAACATAAAAAAAAATAGTTAATTATGGACTTCAACCAAAATATTAAATATTATTAATAAATATTATATTTATGATGTTACAATTTATATACCCCAGCAATGCTATACAATAGTGTGAGAACTATTATGTCAGGTGTAAGTGTTCCAAACAATGCTTGACCAGCCCACCTGTAATGAAAAAGTCAAAGATGTAATATAACACATCATGTAGATTTATAGATTTGGAGTTAAGTTAATATTAGTTTAATTATTATAACAATAAAAAAAATATATTAAATAGAAAGTGAGAAGAATAAGAAATCAAACCATGGTAAGCTAATATAGCTGGCTCCTAGTGCAAAGTTCCCAAGCCATCCATTTTGTTTGAGCTGCAAACACAAAGGGAATATTAATTATTATATTCACATCTTATTCTTTTAAACCAATTAAAAAAAAAAAAAATTACCTTTAAAGGTGGAGCTGAGTAGATATAAGATATAAAGGATCCACCCAAAGCAAGATAGAACATTATAGGGAAATCATGCCCTGCCTATAACAAAATTGTCCTTGAAACTAATATTTACCTTAAATAAAAAATTAAAAAAGAAAAATAGGAAAAGACATACATACCCACACATCTAATATCCCAGCCAGAACAAGGCCTCCCAAAAGAAGTACCCAAACTTGAGTAATGACCTAAACATAAAAATTAAAAAATTAAAAAATAATAATAGATTCAAGTAATAGTCCGTTTAAATACCGAAGAAAAGAGTCAAAGTTATATTAACAAATTACAAAACTAACCTCTTGTTCAGATATGGCTCCCGAAGGAATTGGGCGATAAGGTTCATTAATAGCATCGATATCTCTATCATACCAATCATTGATTGTCTATAGAAAGAAAAACATGAAAGTATTTAGGGTTTATGATAAGTGAAGAAGAAGAATTGTTCGAGAAAATCCCAAAGAGAAAATGTTTGTTATTTCCATGATGGTAAATAAAGAATACATTCAACCCTTTATATAGGGTGGAACTAATTTTGGCCCATGAAGAACTCTGCTTAGTTGTTAATATGCTCCCATCAGTTTACAAAAGTTTAATAAAAAATAAAAAAATAATAAAAAAAAGATTACAATTTGACATATACGAGTGATTTGAACTTTTACCTGTGTGTAACCCGTTAGAAATGGGCCGGACATCATCATGCAAACAATTGATTTAGCAACATCTTCCACAGTCCAGTGGAAGTTACCTTCAATGTGAATAAAGTTATGTCACAATCTACACGGTTTTTATCTGATAATTGTTAAAATTTGTTGGCTTGAGAGATTTGTCGATGTGATTGTAATAATTTATTATATAGTGGATCTTTCTCTTTAGAGGCCATCGTTATCTTCGGTTTTGGATTTTTCCACGTATACCTTATGTTTAAGTTTCTCTATTATTTTTCATTGGACGGGTTGTTGGAATCTTTGAGGCCATTTTTCCAACAATAATGTCGTTCGTTATTTTTCTTAAAGATTTATCTTGAAAAAAATGGTAAATAAAAATGATTTAATTTAAAATTACCAGAAGCAGCAGCTCCACAGACTACTCCCCAAATTAATGGAGGCCAAGTTACAGGCTTTGTAAGTTGAACACGGATCTTCCACATATCCTGTACCAAAATTAAAATACGATGCAATGTTAAGATCCAATAGTAACCTTCCATGAAGCCAATCTTAACCTAAAAAATTAATACATAAATTATAATACATGAAGGACATAAGGAATATAAAAACTCTAACAGTTTCTTGTTTAGCTCCTTTGATGCCAAGAATTTGATTAAAACCCGATCCACTTGCAGCGGGCGCTTTCTCCGGTGCCTTTGCTTTAACTGCTAAAAAAACATTATTCATTCAGACAAGAAGATAAAAAGGGATTTTAATTAATCCAAAACAATAACACACATCTATCGATCCATTCAGTCATTTACCCCAAAAAAAAACACACATTGAATTTGAAGTCAAACTACTATTTTGATATCAAAAATTGATATCGGCTTTCAAAATTTTGGATAAATTTGTTGCTAATTACATTGAAATTTATCGCAATTACTATAATGTTTAACATAAATAATCCCAAGGGCATTAAACTGAGTTAAATGAAATTAAAACCTCAACTAACCTTCGTTTGCATCTGTCTCTGTTGCTCTGATTGTTAGTCTTCTCCCTAATCAATTCAATGAAAAGTAAATGAATTCAAACGCAAATATAAATGGATAATCTGAAAGTTGAAGAAGTTGGAAAGAGCTTCAGATTGAGCTTACGAGAACGAGATAGAGAAATGGGTGTTGCCATTGGTAAAGTACGACATCGATTAGAGTTGGAATTGGAAAGTCTAATAGAAGAAGAGACAGTATTGAGCAGAGAAGAAGCCATGGTAGCCATTGAAGGTAGGGAGAGTTATTGGGAGTTTTGGTAAGAGATAACCTGGTAGTTCTGATTCTGACTGCTACTAGTGAGACTCTACACATACTCCTGGTTCTTTTTCCTTTTTGGTATTGTAAAAAAAAAAATAATAATAATAAATAAAAAAATAATTAAATATTGTCGTTGTAGTTTGTCGAAAATTACTACTTTGTTCCAAAAAAATTAGACAAATACCATATCGGAATGGTCCAAGTTTTCCACAAGGAGACATCATTGCATAAAAAAAAAGTTTTAAAAATGTCATTTTTATTATTATCGATTTAGAATTTTCATTCTTAATAATTGCTTCTCCTACATGCCACGTGTCACTTCTATATGCTTTATCAATCCATGTGTCGCTTTTCTGGAGCTCCTCTCCCTTTGTTTCACGCTCAATCTTTTTCAATCCATTCCTCAAATCCCATAAAATCTGCTAAATTTTTAATTAGATTTCAAATTTGGTATCTTTATTGAGGATATTACGGGATTGGGTTTAAAGGAGATTAGGGATTCAATTTAATTAAACTTTCAAATCCAAATTTCTGAAATCTCGGCACCATCTACCCTGTGACGATTAACTGATTGGCATATTTCACCACAAATCAAAGCCCAATCGATTGATTCTCGATAAGGTCTACATGACTACATCAAGAATTAATGGAGATCAATTTATTGTATGAAACTGATGATGCATGATCTCAAGAAGGTTGAAGATAGGAAAATGCAAGAAAATTGAAGATGGCCATATTTTGGACTTGCTATTCAACTGGACTCCTATGTGATTTATGTTTTTAACCACTGAGTCTTTCCTTCCTCTGTATTGATTTAATTTTTATGTGTCGATGTCGAAATATTGCGGATAATGAAGGGAGCCTAATTTCAGGTAAATTGCATTTGATTAGTCCATTGACAACTATAAGATAAATGATCGTTTTCTAATTTTGTAGCTAGGTAATTCCTTTCCTCCATCTCATTTTATTCAGTTATCCTCTCTCATTCAACCGATTGATTTTATATGGTTTAACTATAAATATTATTTATATGAGTATAATCTACAGTCTTTGGTTTATTCTTCAGATTGATGGAGAGGGAGGCGAAACGTGTTGCATGAGAAGAGGTTCAAGAAGGTACAATCAATATTCGACTGATTTATATATTTTTCTATTTTTTAATTTTATCCATTTTCCTAACTTTTTAGGAACTCTCAAGTTTACCAACAATGGAGTTAAGTCACAAGGATGACAGTCCTTCTGGCCCTAATCATTTAAACCTCTGGAACCTTCTTTACACATGAAAATTGTAAGATTTCTTGATGCTTTTGTATACATCTATCAAAATTACAAGATATTGATTGTTTCTTTATATGATTTATGTTAAAATGTGACAAGTTTGATTATGCACACTACGTGCTCGATGAAATGCTTGAACAATATCTTATTTTTAATTTCTTTTAAATGTTATTAGATAGGAAGAAACTAATTCAATCCTTTATTTAGCATAATTTCTTGAATGGTTTTTACTCTGTGATTTTTTTATAATTGTTGCGGTTCCGCCCTACTTTACTTGAGTATATGGCTTCATTGGCAGCGTGTTTTCCTTATCTGAAGTGCTCAGTATAAATGTTGGAGCAACCAAGCAACCAATTCACTTCAGCATCCGAAGATTTGGTAAATACTTGCTTATGTGATTTTTTGATTTGATAGTAAGTGTTTTATATGAATGCATATAGGGTGTTTAATGAAATGCCTGTTAGGATTGGACAACAGGATTGAGTATGGAATGGAATAACATTTTGTTACATCATTTGCAAATCCATTGTGTTAATGATTGAAGAATATAATGTGTTGCAGGGTTCTAAATTGATCTGATTATTTATTCTCATCAAAATGTTCATTTCATTGGATAAGTCAATAAGAACCTTTCATCACTTCTCAAAAACCAACATGTTGATTCATCTGATTCAAACTCTCCTCCGTTTACTCAGATGCTTACCCTTGATCAAAAGAATGCACATAAGTTTATGACACTAATTAGTATTGATGTACTTTTGAACTCTGGTGGTTGTGGTTCTTATAATCCTAAAAGAGAAGGCTCAAAGTCTTCCTTTACCTTATTATCGAGTCAAAATCTTCCATACCTATTAACAAGTTTATAATTTTCAGCAGTTAGTGATGATAAGGCCCAAGACCCTATACTCTAATCAGAAACTTAAAAAGATTTAAGTTGTGGAAGAATAGCTACTAAGTTTACTCATAAAGCTTCAAACTTTAACATATGAAAACATGAGGCTGAAGCATGATATCCATGAGAATGAATCATATTGGATTCCCAAATTGCACATCTTGCAGCTGAGAAAGCTATGGTTTAATACGGTGTAGGTTCAGCAGGTGGCACCAATGAGGAATTTCATGCCAATGGAAGATAAAAAAAACCAAATCTCATAATCAAATCCTATAATTTTCCCTCTTGTTTTAGAATATTTAGCCTTTTGATTTGGTTATTTTGTTTTGGATTATCAAGAACTAAGGTTTTATATTTTAATTTTATGTTTTCTACTAACCTAATAAGTTTAAACCCTTGGGTCAATATTACGTTAAAATGGAAACTAAGGTAATTTTTATATATTTATTTCTTTTTAATTGTTGTCATGTGTCTTCACGTATGTCTATCATTTTTAATTTTTGTGATCAAGAAACATTTGGTAAGGAATTGGCTTCTGTGAGTTTTTGAGTAAATTAAAAGTTTACACCCAGTGGTTTACCCAATATCACAATATCACAGGTTTAGTCTAACTTTTGTATTTGTTATAAGAATCCCCTCGTGGTTTTATTTTGTTGCGGATAATGTCCCTACATCAATGATTTCCAAAAAGCTTTGTTGAAACCTGTTGCGTATATCCTATGTAAGAGCAAAAATATCATTTATGTTGAGTAACTAAAAAAGCATGATGTTATAAGTGAATATATTTTTTGTTTTATGATTTTTTTTATTTTAACAATCTGATTGTTTCATATAATATAAAGTTTTTGAGTTTTAAATGTCAACCAAATTTCATTTTTTTTTTATTTTGTGTTCGTCAATGAAAATGTTTTAATTTAAACTTATATGTGTCTGGATTATTTTCACTTTATTATGTCTTATTTTCTATCCTTTTACATGGTTGTGGTGTATTAATAATATTATACCCTCTAAAACATTGAAAGTAAGTCGTTTGACTTTCTAAAGTCAAATATAAACATTTTTACCTCTTATGTAGTTTTGTGTGTGTTCTGTGTATGTGTGTGTTTGTTTGTATATTGCATCATACTTGATGTCTTGGTGTTTTGCATCTTTAATTTTTTTGCAAAAAAATTAATTTGACAGACCTGCTATTACAGTTTAATTTCATTTCTATTCAACATAAATTGCTATTTAACTTTGGATTTTTTCTACTACTTGATTATACTTTTTAATTACTTTTTTATTAAGGCAAAGTAGTATATAATTGTACTTTTAACCCGCTACTATAAAAATTAGCCCAAAAGATACCACTCTTTCAAGTTGTCATTACTTTTATAGCAAGATAGTTTCTAATTTTCATTTTTTATGGCAATGTAGTTTCTTATTTTTTTTTGTCTATATAATAATTTTAAATGTACCATCCGTGGTTTCCACAGGTTATAACCTAGTACTCGAATAGAACATGCAATAGCAACATTGTGATACATATCAAGCATAACTTTGTTATATCTATACATCGAAAAGATCAATATAACTAAGATATATTATTTTCAAAAAAAAAATCATTTTCAAATAGCCATTCCAAAAAAAATACTCCATCTGTCCCAAAATTATTGTCCACGTTTGACTTTTAAAATCTTTCTATGTCAACTTTGACCATAAATAACTTTATTTGTGTTATATAATTTTCGATAAAACTTATAACAATGAAAACGCATTTAAAAAACAATCTATTCATTTATCTTATATAAAAAATTGTATAACAAAAAGTAATTATTTAAGGTCAAAATTGAACAAAATTGAACAAAATAGACTTAAAAGTTAAAAATTGTATTACATATCTGACAAATCTAGTAGAATATTCTAACATTCTAAAAATCGCATTAGAATATTTACAGTGTAATATAATATTAGAATATTTCACGTATTTTTCAAAAAAAAAAACGATAATTTTTTTTATTTTATTTTTTTATTATTTTTTAGGTAATTAAAGTGACGAAAATAATAATTAGAAAAAGAATTTTCGGACTTTTTCTTTTATTTTGTATTTTAAAATTAATTTTAGATTTGGTCTCACAAAATTAACTTGGTATCAAATGAACATGAACATATATATATATATATATATATATATATATATATATTATATATATATATTATTCTTTAGTAAATATGGACAAATAGATGTTAGTTAGTACACTATCTTATTGTGGAATATAAAGACATGAGGTCTTAAAAGTAATTCCAGTATCAATGTATCTTAAAGAAATTGTTTAAAGGATCCATGAATAAATAAATTCAGGTCCTTGTCACATTAGAACTTAGAAGGATTTGATAATTGTTGAGAGAAGATTTCCAAAGCGAGACTCGAACCAGCAAAAGCATACTAAGGGCTTGAGGGCATATATATATATATATATATATATATATAAAAGACCAATTTTTTCTAATGAAATATTCTAATATTATAGTTATCGTAAAAATATAATATGTATAATATTCTAAAATTATATGCTTTTAGAATATATTTCAATGTAAAATGTGTTAAAAATATTATTTTAGAATATCAGAATATTACATATATTATATTTTTTTGAATAACAAAAATATTAGAATATTTAACTAGAAAAAAGTGGTCTTACGGTCTCAAAAAATTAGACCCTTAACGGTATATAAGTTTAGGTACCAAATATATAAAACTAAATACTTTTAAAATTTGTTTACATTTCTGGAAAAAAAAATACAATTTTCTTAAATGTTTGATACGTTTCGTAATTAGACTACTAATACTGATAACATTGAATTCACGCCCTCCTTGATCGCCTGCTTCCATGATCGGTTGGTA